TCTACACAAAATATCACGTCAATCCATCTCTCAGTTTCGACGTGAAAGAAAGACAAACAAATAAACAAACACACTTTCACATTTATAACGTTAGTATGGATAGGCTATATCTATCTTCTATTTTCTTATTTAAATACCAAACTTAAAACACAATGGGCTCACCTAAACCCTTTAACTAAGTCAAAGAATAATCTACATAAAATATTTTCCTCAACAAGTAGTCTTAAAGAAAACAAGCTTCCAATTAGAGTTTGAAGTTTCGATGCACGGTCTTGTCTCAAGTTTTCCAATATAAGTTTTCTCAGAACCATTTATCAAACTCTGTAACCGTATGTGCTAATGTAAATAATATTACTTACAGCCCAAATTTTGACAATGTATTTGATTGTATTGTTTTGTGGTCGCGTTTACGCTGGCTTTGTTCAACTTACATATCTCATTGTGTGCAAATACTGCTTGGAGAGTAAGTTTGTTTAGTGGGAATTTATGTCGCCATGTAACACCAAATGGTGCTTTTAGTAGATATAACATAAAATTAATACTAGTCTACATTTGAAAATTTATACAGCAATTATCTAAAAACATGGTGCAAGAGAGTCGTAAATTTCATCAATATTTTTGTATATGTTTATTTGATTTTAGTATGGTATTGTACTATTTAAAAATATTACGAATAATATGTAAACTTAATTATGCACTATTGTTATAAGTGAATTTTTGAATTTATCTTAATATTATTTATTTCTTTGAATATAAAAGATGTTGTGGAAAACAAAACTATTTATTATCGTCTGACAATGTTAGAATATCTATAGACAATATACACGTCATATCTGATATCTAAGTAATTTATTAAGTCTATTTAGATTGTGAGAAAAGAAAATACTCTGAGAGCTAGCTCAGTCATAAAATATTGCCTGTCAAATGTGCTGTATGATGGACAGATTCAGACCTAAATTATATAAATAAAAACGAATCACCGAAATGTGTGTACATTGTACACGCACTTGTAACTTCCGATCGACTGCACAAAATTGGATAATTCTTCTTTTTTTTGTGTTTGTTTTTGTCAGGACAAGTTTTGTATAGAAAAAAATTAAAAGATTGTTTTTTTACCGAAAAAAAGATTTTTTTAAATCTCATGATATGAAAAGTGAGTGAGTGAAATAGTTTTTATCCCGGAATCCCTTAAAGGGGTGAGAATGGGGATGAAAGTTTGTATGAGGAAGCAAGCTAGGGACGAACCCGAGCGAAGCGAGGATGAGTCGCTGGTAAATATAAAAAATAGGGATGATCTCTGCCTTTTTCCTTAATTTTGCAATTAAGCATGTTAAATACTATTTTATTTTTATATTGTTAAAGTATTTGACCGAAGAACAATTCTAGGTGATAAATCGGTCTACGCTTATAATATAACCAGCGACTCACCCTCGCTTCGCTCGGATTCGTCCCTAGCTTGATTCCCAATATAAACTTTCATCCCTTCATTTTCACCCCCTTAAGGAATGATTTCCAAGACAAAAAGTATCCTATGTCCTTCCCAGGGTATCAAACTATCTTCTTACAAAATTACATCTAAGTCGGTTTAGTAAATCCAGAGAATACCCCCTACAATGTGACAAACTCACAAACTTGACCTCTTTATAATATTAGTATAGATAGTAATATGTTTATACACTTCGATTAAGAACATATCTACACAGACATATACACACAATTTTGTATATCTAGTTACTAAAAATATAAATATAAGTTTTTCTATATAAATTATAATACATCAAAACAATGTACTAGAATATTGTAGGTCTAAAAAGGGCCTACAAAAAATGCCCGCGTAGCAAGCTATAGAGTCGTCCTATAGTACACTACAATAACTTTTTTATAAATTTAAGGCGTTTCTAGTGACGCATCTGAGCGGAGCGAGGGTAAATTATTTATTAATTTAAGAAATAGTATAAACAAGTTTTTATATCAGTTTCTTATTTTATATCATTTGTGATTGGTTTATATACGTAGTATTTTAACTCTAACACTAATTAAAAATAAATAAAATAATTTTGTTATGATTTAGGTAATGGAACTTTATGACACGGAAATGATGGTGTCACGTAAGACAAGGATGGTGAAGATGGCGGATTAAAGTGTTACGTTGATTGATGCGACGTGTCTCGGATGCGAACGCAATCAGCTGGATCCAGACATGCTCATTTGTCTGTCTAAGGCTTTAACGCGAGACACGTTATCGCTTTGTAATATCTAAAATAACATTTTCACGATTATAAGTATTGTAAAATCTATTTGGGTCTTCTTTTTTAATATTAATCCCTTCACGACCGCGGACACGCCGGCGTGCTAGTTAAAGTCCCTCCAGTGGTTTTTCTGTGATGCGGTAACAGACAGACAGACAAAAATTCTTTTCTATATCGATAATAAATTCTTCTCTGTATCGATAATAAAGTCTATTTCAATAAGATTTTCCAAAAAATATTTATTGTACAGATTCGGCTTAGTTACAAATTAATTATATGTATAGATAAGAACTTGTCACCGCAAAAATTCTAGTCCATCCCTCCTGCCCTTTAAATTCAAGATAAAAGAAGAAATTGTGTATTTCATTACACTAGAGATTTCAAATCGTTCTACTTTATAATGGAGGATCTATTTTAATCTTAAAGGATTATGTGCCAAGCGCTTGCGGTGGAAATCTTAGTGTTTTAAAGGTGCTGTTCTCGTATAGCGTGAAATCAAAAGTTGAAGGTGAGAATTTTAACGCTCTTTTCATGTAGTATCTCTGAGTGAGAAATAAATTTTGTAAAATGGATGCTTAGAATTACGCTTTTTATACAGAAACTTCAGCTATTTAATTTTAATGTTTGGTTTTCGTTTTCACGAACTTTAACTTATGAAGTAACATTATATTTATGTGTTATCTACTTATCGTTTCTCTGATGCTTAGATATACAAGAATCAAATAAGAGACACTTGAGTCACGCTAAGTAAGAGTATTTCCATCTTGCTTGGATAATATCTATTTATCATTTTGCTTATTATTACTTACAATGGAAAAAAATTGATAGCAACTAGCAGAACCCGCGGTTTCGCTCGCGCTAAAACTACAAAAAAATCTCTAAAAAGGTAGTTTTATACAAACTTTCATCCCCTATCTTACCTACTTATAGGATGAATTTCGAAAAATGCTAAAACACGTATTTATTTAATTTTATTGAAGAGCATGAATATCAAGTTTCAAATAATTCTGACCATAAATATTTTTTCGGATTATAATATAACGTGTTGTACCGTGGGAATTAGATAATGTCCCGCGATAAAAAGTAGCCTATGTCTCTCCTCCAACCTTCCAACTATCTCCGCACAAAAAAACACGTCAATCCGTCTCTCCGTTTCGACGTGAAAGAAGAACAAACAAATGTTTGTTTGTTTCTTTCACATTTATAATATTGAAACAGTATGGATAGCATTTTTATTAATCTACAACAATAATGAAAGAAAAAATATTTACATCAAAAAAGAATACACTGAGACACAGTAAATAGTAAGAGAAAGGAAAAAACATTACTACATATTATAAATTACAGACCCCGCCGCGCTGACTTTTTTGTTCGGGCTAATCCAAGAGACTATTTACTTCACGAATTTTCTTACGGTTTGTACTAATAGAAAGGGAGATTCTCTAGCAAGGTATAATTTTTTTATTTTTTGCGAAAATAAGCGACCGGTATGTATTAAAATGGTGAAGATCATGCTTTCTGAAAACTTTCATAATATTATAAATGCGAAGCTCAGTCAGATAGATAGTAACTTTATACCAGTGTCCATGGTATAACAATCAGCTGTACCTGGTAACCGGTAACTATTTGTAATTACAAAAATAACAATGTTTATTTCTTTCGATCGATATTTTTGTTCGATTTTCCGTTAATCTTGAAAGACAGAAAATAAATAAGTTTTACGTTTATGCATTTATCTAGAAAGAGATCTAAAAAATGTTGGCTATATTGCAATATTTTAATTAATATAGATTAATTTAAACAGATTACAGCAAAGCTCTCGATCAACACAATCTCCTATCTTTAATAACGGGAAATGTTAATTACTGGGCTAATTAAGGCATCGGAATTACATATTGATAATCGATTCTGTTTTCGCTGCTGACTTGATTACTTTAATAACGTACATAGTACGTACTCGTATATATGACACTTTTAAATACCAACACAATGAAAATAAAAGCCAGTACTAACCACTAAAATCCAATAGAACGTCACCCGTCTTATTGGGGCGTCGAAGGATCGCTTACACGCAACCACGACGTCCCAACGGTTGGTCTGCTAAAGACCAGACAACCAAGGGGCTGCTCCATCGGTCCACTCTGCTACCAGAGATGTACCAGGAGCAACCTGCATGGTGTCCTTGGGACGCATCTGAGCCAAGCGAGGGAAAGTCGCTAGACCATAAATAAAGTGCGCGAGTGAAGTCAGAGAAAATACTTGTATTTTACATTATTCAAATCTTTATGTCTATACATAATTAAAAGCGTTAACTGGTTTTAACGTCATCTAAATGTTTTCGCCTTTTATAATTAAGTGAAGTCACCACGCTAATTAACTTATGGACTATAAATTGGTAATTAATTTGGATTTCACTGTCTGCGATTATTTCGGTTCGAATTACAGCATTCATTTTATTATATCTCAGAAAATAGTGTGAGTTAAAAACGGCGGGCGTTGATAGACAATTAAGGGAAAATATTTTCTGACAAATTAACATCCGAAGATAGGACAGACACTTTTGATACAGATGCTTGCTGTGCCTCTCTGTGCTCGGCAGAGGCACAATAACAAAACAACAACAAAAAATTAAGCAATTTATTAAAACCACGAAAAATGGTGATTCAGATATATTTTAGTGAACCTTTTTGTGTTTATGTATAAATACGTGTATAATATTATACATCCTTTAATTTTGAAGCAATCATAACAATGGTGAAAAATGTTAAATATAGTTTATTTCTTATTTTTTTATACCATAACCTACTAACCAAGGCGCAAAAAGAGAAAACTACACCCGAAACTATTTTTGTAGGTAAGTGAACATAAATTACAATAGCAAGTGTGTAGCCTTAATAAAAAAACATATAACATTTATTACCTCTATGTTACGTTTATTATGCAAACATACGTTGGCACGAAGAGGAACTTGTATTAAAGGAACTATTTCTTAACCTTTTCATTTTGAAATATCTAGTAGACCCTTTTTTGCGTACTGGTTCTCCACGAAAAGTCCTTGAGGTACTGGAACGAAAAGTTTATGTTCTCGCTTATCTGTGTACTAAATTTCATGCAAATCCGTCCAGCATTTTGAGCGTAAATGGTTTTTTGAATGACTTTATACCTCAAGGGACATGGGAACAATCTATGTATAAAGTACACAGATACTGTTTTAATATTAACAAGTTAACATTGCGAATGATATTAGGCCATTTAAACTAGTAATACTATAACAAATATAGGTATAGTGCAGCGAAATATATATATATAACATAAAAATTAAATGTATGTAAAATTATAGTAAAATACATTTTAAGGTAAGACGTCTTGTATGGATCCTTCGCCGCTGGTTTACTCTACTACAATTATTTCAATTGTAAGCGAAGTTAATACTCGTTGTATTGTTTAGTTAAACCTAGTTTTGCGATGGTAATGGTAAATATTTAGGTACGCTTATTGTTTGAAATCAAAAGTTCTTGATTTCATGAGATTGCTTTCTACGTTTCATGAATAAGACTATTGTTTTAGTGTGTTTAATTATTATATGCGAAAGTATAAGGTCAAGAAACAGAATTCGTATTAGTCTTTGGATTCACTTCATCATTTTTTAGTGATGAAAAGTATGCTATAATTATTATACCTATCTCTTGAAATTATATGTTTGTTCGTATGTTCTTCATTCACACAGAAATTATTCACAGTCAAATCAAAATAATCGTCAATTTTATCATTTTTTTACATTAATGACATTTAAATTAAATCTCAAGGTTGTAATTCAGTTAGGAAGGATTGAATACTTGTTTATGTGCAATATTTTACAAAAAAAAAACAAGACGACTAGACGTATATTTAGTACGTAAGCGAATCTAGATATTTAATCAGAAAATTATAATATAAACAAAGAATAAAACACACAAAAATTCACTAATACTGATCATAAATATTCTCTTCTAGAAACAACAACAGAAGCAGTAACAATTATAACGGATATTCCTCAGTCTGATGTAGAGTTAGCGCTTAACCATGACGTTGGGAAATATACAACGATGGTCTTCAATTACATCAACAAGCAGTATGAAACAAATATCAGATATGAGAGATGCTTTGACGATTATACCAAGTGCCTAATTACTCAGTATGTTATTTTTTTCTTTCCAGCCAACAGTTTTACCTGGAAAAAAATCTGGGTTTGCAAAAAGTCATATTTATATAATTTTACTTCTCTAAATTTTCATTTGGGATCCATTTCTCTAAAATGGAAACTATCAGAAAGCTTAAAAAGAAAAAAGTACCCTCTCTTTTAAGTTTTAAAATTAAATTAAAATATATTTTATTCTACAAGAACTTTTAAAAACTATTTAAATAAAATAAGTTTTGATTTGATTTTGAAGTATCAAGTAGGTACCTAATTGGAATACGAATTACATATAAAAAATCAAACCTTCGTAATTGTATAATTGTATATTATTATTTGAGGAGCTTGTTTTTAAGTGATGTTAGTGTACCTATAGAAATAGTTGTAAAAACTGTATGACTGAAAAAAAATATAAATATGGGCAAAGAAATATAATGAACACAAATTACAAACATTTTTTAAAATAGACTTTTACAAGTCATTTTAAATGATACATTTTTATATTTAATATAATGTCAGCATTGTAAGCCCGGCTTGAAACGAAATCATGCTAAGAAGAACCGGTGAAAAACTCATTCATTGGTTTTTTTACAAGTATTTTTAAGCTATTGCATAGCTTCTATCACGGGCCTTGAGCGTGGGGACCGAATCCAGAAATTCCGTAACGAAAAAAACCTGACATCCCCCACTCCGACCGGCACAGCGGTGATACTTTTTAGTTTTTCCATCTATCGATAAATACCAGAACTTTTAATGATTTTTGAAATATGACGCTTGTCTCTTTAGTTCAGCAACCCGCCTTTAGGTGGCATTGGTTGTATTGGAAAACTACCGTAATCAGTTGTTTGTGAGAAAGTATATAGGTGTATAGGTATTTATCATCTATGTACAACAGTGAATATCTGTACTTGTATAATTTGTGTACAAAGTGTTTTAAATATGAATAAACAAAGTGCATTTATTAATGAAGAAAGTCAAGGAAAAAAAAATACTGCATTAATAAAATAAATAAATAATTATAATTGCATAAGTTGATAAAAAATGCTATTCAATAGCTTTACCGCGGCAGTCTCCGAGTGCCACATTTTTTTTTCATGAGTTATTATTATTTATATTTGATTTCCATTTTAAAAGCGATGTTATAATTAAAATATTATTATTACAGATCAGTGGCAACACCTATTTGTGCCGTAAACGATCCAAATGAGAGACCTGACGGGTTCGTCACATATAATTCTTATTGTGATGCGTATTTTGACAATTGCCTTAGACAGATGAGTGAGTTCATTTGTACTAGCTTGTAATATTATTCCCTTTTAAATTCATATAATTTTAAAATCCTCGAGAACTCAATATTATTTAGGAACCTAGGTGTATTCTACAGTTTTCTTTGTTTAGATGACAATATGATTATTTATGCCTATTGCATTATGTCTATGCCAAAGCGACCAGAGTCCAAGGCGCAACACCACTAGCTTTTTCTTCTTAATAATAAACCCAATATCTCTGATCTGCTACCCTGCCTGTAAGAATTATCCGATAGACTAGTTTCTTCTTTAATATAATTATTGTATTTAATATTTAAGATTTTCTGAAGTGTTATTCTATAGTTTATAACTTCCCCATTAATTTCCTTTTGGATTTATTTTTTAAGGATTTTGGCGTATTTTGGGCCCTGGAAAATGTGTATTCCTAGGATCGTATTTCACAATACATCGTACTAGAAAACGTTTGGGATATCAGCCTAGAAAATATTTTTAATTATAAAGTATGTGTTTGAATCATTTAAATAAGTATTATTAACTAATGAACAAATAAAAACACTCAGAAAGGAAGAAAAGAAGTTTAATTTTACCTATCTTATATCTATACGTTTATTATGTTTTTTGAAGACTAAAAAAACAACGAAGGTGGGTCAACTAATTAATCTGAATTCGTTGATTCAGTTGAGTTTGATTCGTTAAATTATATTAAAATTTGTGTAAACCTACGCTTCGTATTCGAAATTAATTTAGCATTGAAAAATAATAAACATGGAAAACATAACAAAAAATTGTTGTGTTAAATTTTTTTATTGTTGTATTAGGCAGTGGTAGCCCAGTGATAGCGTGCTCGCTTGGGAAACTTGGGAAACCGAGTGAAGCGGGTTCAAATCCCGGGTCTCACACCTCTGATATTTTCAGGTGCGAATCATTACCACCATGATTACCACTTGCCTTGCCTTGCCGGTAAAGGAAAACATCATGAGGAAACCTGCATGTCTAAGAGAACCTTTTCGAAGCACATGTAAAGTCCGCCAACCCGCACTTCGCCAGTGTGGGGGACTATGGCCTAACCCCACTTGTATTGAATGGAGGCCCAGCAGTGGGACGTTAAAAAGGGCTGAATACATTAAAAAGTTTTATGTGTACTGAATTTCTAAAAGTTAAGCCGATTTCCGAGGCCATTATTTTTTGGCGTGTAATCGAAATACCAATTTACATCATCTTGAATTTTAAATGGATATTGTCCAATTGTGCAATCCGTAGGTAATCTGAGTTTCGTTGAAAATAAATGCAATCGAATGTTCCAGAATATTCTGATATCATTTCGAGGTATCTCAATCGATGTACATGTAATGATGTACTTGACAAATGATGTTAATTATCTCGTTCCACGGTTACTTTGATGTGAACAATAGCATTGGAAGAATGAAAGGCTGGTATAGGTTAGAATATTTATTTATTGTATGTATTTAGCCCTTTTTATGTCCCACTGCTGGGCACAGAACTCCCTTCAATACAAGGGGGATCAGGCCATAGTCCACCACGTTGGATTTTATTATATAATATTATACAATTTAAGCTCACCAGGCTGCTGGCTCGTGTACAGTGAAAACAGGTTTGATTTAAAAAAATAGCACAAGTGTCTCAAACATTTTATGCCTTCTATTATTATAGATGGATGATATACTCGTAGCAATACAATACGATATAGTATTTGGGTGGACTCTTAAAGTCCACCCGACCCCATGGTTTTGTTCAGCGTTTCTTTTTGTTCGCAAAATCTTTTGATTCTAAAATTGTACACGCACGAATCCATCTTAAATAAAATAAAATATAAATAACAACAAAACATAAAAAAACTCAAAAAAGGTTCGTCTGTGGGTGTTAGACTTAATCAAATAAAAAAATAATAAAAAAAGACATATCGATAAAAAAACTACACAACGTTACACAACTGATGAGTTAATGTGGAGAAATAAGATTGCTACATTTTTCAACTATAGGAATTCAGGATCTGCATTCCTATAAGCGCCGCGCCGCGCCATTCTAAAAGTACAATCTAATATATACATAAAAATCTCGTATTACGGTGTTTGTGGTCGCACTCCTCCAAAACGGCTGGATCGATTTAATGTTTTTTTTTGTATATTTGGTAGGTATAAGAATAAGTCGTAAAGTATTTTTCACCCTCCTACCCCTCACCCCTCATTTTTGGTCACACTATAACCCATTTTTGGAAACACACTTTAACATAATATATATTATTAAGTAGGTATGGAATCTAACTAGCTGGTTCTATTGAAAAAGACAAAAAAAAACAAATATATTGTATGTAAAGTACAGTCATGTTAAAATGTTATAATTTTACGTTGTTATCGCATGCAGTTCAATTTTATTGTTTTTAATTTAATAATCATATTTTTTTTAATAAAGACATTTGAGATTTATGGACGATCATCATAAAGAGCGTAATACGTAGGGTAAATGGAATTAATCAAAAAGGCAATAAAAAACATTTATCTGTGTCGTTACACAGTTTCGTCATTTTATAAAAGTCTACGTGTGATTTGCATACAAACTAGCGAGTTATCCTTGCTTCGCTTGGTTGCATCCCAAGGTGCATTTTTTCTGAGGAACCCTAATTCTTTAAAAAAAAAATAGTAGCCTAACTTACTTCTTATAATATCATCTATCTGCCAGTGAAAGTCTCGTCAAAATTGGTCCCGCCGATTCAGAGATTAGCCGGATCAAAAAGACAGACATTTTTTTTAAAAATTGTGTTTTTTCTTAAAGTATAAAATTTCACATGTATTTAGTAAAAAGTTGTTATTTTGACATTACAAACAGACGTTTTAAGTTTATTTGTTTGTATATTTTATTATAGAAGTCTACGAGTGATTTAGTTACAAATATGCAAACAGTTCAATATTATATTCAATACTCACTTAGAAAAAGCATTGATTTAAACTTTAAAAAAAGCTGCTTGTAAAGCTGTTTTCCTCCAACTCGCATAAATACTCAACCACCTCATGTTACGTATTTCTGGGAGAACTTTAAAAATCTCAGAAAACTTAAAATGAAAAAAAAAATCACGCTCACGGGACTTCTCGGGAATCTCGTTAAGTTTTCATGTACAAAGTTACTTGATTTCCATATCATTCATTTATTTAACTTGACGTTTATATTTAAGTAAAATAAATATATTCAAGTATCACATGACCCAGAAGAGTATGTCTGTCTGGCACCACCTATAACAGCGGAGGTCACAGGTTCAGATTCGCAATGATCGAATCATTCGATTTAATTTTTCTCGACCTAGTTATAAACGTAGGTTTCCGCTCCTCATATGTAAAGTCTTAATATACCCGAAGAGGAAGTAAAATCATTCCGAAAGACGGAAGCAAGAACATTTGAGTACTAAACAATGTTAACGCGTCTCATATAATAATTTGGAACTATAGAAATATAGCATTATGGTTTTTGCAAAAGTATAAGTGGTATAGAAAATGCAACACCTATAATCTACATATATATATCACCCTTTTTAACCGACTTCCAAAAAGAAGGAGGTTTTCAATTCGTCGAAATCTTTTTTTTTGTATGTTTACCTATCTTCCCTTGAAGACGCCTGAACCGATTTGGATTTTTTTGTTTCGAAGCATATACTTCCCAGGCGATTTTTTCCCATTATTAATTTCTAGCAGAAAAACCGATTTTATCCGCGTTCTGACTATAAAAAGTATTTGGATGCATAAAGATATTATCTATACATATAATAAAACTGTAGAGGTCGAATGTCTGTACATAGAAAAAATATGCTAAAAACCGAGTCAGGGGGATCTAAGAAGAGAAACAGAACAAATCCAGATTTTTTCTCTTTTTTGTTTCTCTGTTTGTTTGTCGGTTTGTACGGGCTAATCTCCGAAACTGTTGGACCGATTTAAATGAAATTTTGCATTGTTACCACCATTATGCCACCTTATATCCCCGGTCAACATTTAAGATACTTTTCATCCCGGAAAATTAAAGAGTTCTCGTGATATAGATAAAAAGCTATAGTAACTTATACAGCTTAGTACACAAAAACTACTGATTGGATTTTAATGAAACTGTATTAGTTCATACATCAGAATAACAAATAGCTACTTTTTGTCCCAGAAAAATGTACGGTTCTCGTGGGATAGATTTCTTCTTGTTCGTCTAAAACCCCGAGCGAAGCGAGGGTGAGCCGCTAGTAACTAACAACTTCTGAATAACCCATCAGTGATATTAACCCCCAATATTTTTTAAATATAGTCCGAAGTCATATCTCTAGGAGTTTTCTTTATTTTTTCGATATCTTATTTCATTTCGAGATATGATTTTTTTTTCTGACCGAAACCGAGCGAAAAGCGGCCGCATTTTTCTCATTTTTTCGATTTAAAAAAAAGCCTTTGTGTTTTCAAATTTTTTTGCATTTTGTAGCCCTCATTCAGACGCATCTTTTAACATCAATCAACCACGTAGTCCCAAAATCCACGACACCAGGGCGACGTCGCACTTTCGCTGAAAATCGGGCCTATACTGAAGCGACAAAAAATATTTTGAATATTAAAAACCCGACTTTCAGGTTTTAAAATATAAAAAATAGCTAAACGGGAGTTTTCATATTTTAGAATAGATACCTAATCAGATATTTTCGAAGTCGGTGCCAGATATCTTATACTGAAGAGGATACAAGGAACATGTTGACAATGTTATGGATACCAACTCCCATATAACACTTTGTAGCGTAAACAGCGTAGACTATAAAAAACATTTTAGAACAGTTCATACGAAACGTTTATTAAAACCGTTGAAATTGGCGCAGTGAAAGTTTTATGGGAGTCCCTCAGTTGTCTCTCTAAATTGTTTCTACTATATTGTACCTATTCGAAACACTCGTAACGGTCCTTCGTTTGATGAATTTTTAATCTAATTTATTTAAACGAGCAATTGTTGTATATATATAAATTTTATCATTTAAAAAAAACTAAAAATAGTACTCTCCGGGTACTCTAAACTCCGGGTTCGAATCCCGGACGGATACAAAGGTATAATTTACTTTTTTTTGTTTTTTTTTTAAAGAAAATTTTACTGTGATATTATGTAAGTAGTGTACTTTTATTGGTAAAAACTCAATATATGAAAATAATATTGAAAGTTTTAAACATTCCACTACTTATAAG